TTATGATTTTAATTATTTTTGTCGTTTCGTGATTTTTCCCGAAACAATTAGTAAACTAATGAAGTTCAGAGATTTTGGCATCAACTTGATTATTTTCCCCGATATTTTCATCATTATAATTTTAATTATTTTAGTTTTTTGTGTTTTTTTTCCGAAACAATTAGTAAACTAATGAAGTTCAAAGAAATTAAATAATTTACTCTTCCAGATTAATTTTCCTGACCAAAAAGAAGTTTTTATATAATTTAGACATTAAACGTAAAAATTTCTTTAAATCTAAAGTTGTACTGGAATGCAGAAAAAATTGTGATACATAATTATAGATAATTTCCAAAATGTCAGCACAACAGAACTCATAGACCAGGTTTGGTCGCATCCGAGCAGGAATAACGTCCTTATACCTGAAGAAAAAAAACAATTTTTTAATTATTTACCTGTAAAACATGCAAATTTATATTCGGGAAATATTTCAAACACAACATCTTTAGTTCTCTGGACATAATTTCAGACGCACTACCAAAATAGGGTAATGTGCAATAAATAATTTTCTTACTATCGCATTCAGTCACAGTTTCGGAAAATTTGTTAGATAAGAAGCGTTTGATTTTAATATACACAAGGAACGATGGAAAAACATTAAGCTGAAATATATTACGAATGAAATCGAATTCCAAATGCATATCATGGAAAGTAGAACACACCCTATAGCTCAAACGCTCTGATGAAATCAGTCTCTCGGGAGTAATATACACAACATTTTAAAACATTCTTATTTTGAAAGGAAGCTGGGAATCGTAAACGGATAAAAAAGTTTACGTAAATTTGAGCGACACGTTGACTTTGGGATATGTTAAAATAGTAATTAATTGCTCAGAGCAGGAAATACTTTCGAATTGACATCGAAGGTAATTTATTCAAAATTGCTCAAGTCGCGTGGTGCACATAACGATGGTTCACGAAAATGTTAATTGTTTTTGAAAAGTCAATATTCATACAAGGACATTAAAGTTTTTATTATGTAAGCAGCTTTGAAAGGTAAGGTGCAATGACAAATGTTCCTGTATATTAGTCAAGCCCGTTGACATATGGATGACACACTTCATTTAATAAGTGAAACATCCATTAGAGATTCATCATAAGGCTCGAGAGCGTAATAAAAATTGAGGTAACTCAATTCGTCTCTTACACAGCTTCATTTTAGTGTGTGTCAACAAAATTTGAATGTAATAAATGGGTGAGTGCGTGTTTGGATGAAAAAATTGTCTTTAAAAGGTAAGGTAATGAGTGCTTTGGATGACAAGCTCCACTACTGACGACTATCAAAAAACATAATGAGGGCAGAACGTAATAATCACAATGTAAATAAAAAAGAGTCTTTGCAGAAGTAAATTCATTTGCACTCAATATTCACAGGAACTTCAACTGATGAAATGAACACATTAATTTTACGAGTTATATATACAATACAAATTTTCCGTAAACTATTTTCAAAGTTTAACAAGTATTTTGTAAGGGGTTTTAATTCATGATGTCATCAAGATTTATAGATAAACGCACATAATCCACAAAATGTCATTCCTCAAAGAGACGTAATTGTAAAACTTCATCCAACGGTATGAAAATACAATGCTGAAACTTGTCAAAAAGGAATCTGGTAAATTTATATTACGGGTATAAGTAAAGTAAAGTGATATAGACGAGTGGCAAATACATTTGTTTCTTAAAAGAAATGAATGGCATAACGATCGACATGTGATAATACAAGTGAACAATTTTCGAGCTTATATTGTAACATAACATAACATATTGATGTCGGCGATGAAGTGTAGGCCTGATATGGCCTGTCGCCTATTCTTTTACTTTTAGTGCCTTGTTCAAAGAAGATCTAGAATCGTGTCATTTTCCAGGACTGACGATAGTTTGAAATAACTACTAGACTTACACCGGGTTAGATATCGTGCTAGGCATTTCAAGTCTGAATATATATTTTTCCATAGCTTTATCTAGTCTGTCCTTGAACGCGTTCATACTTGGAGCGCCAACGATGTAGGACGGCAAAGTTCCTTCGTTCAAGGTTTTTTAAAGAATACTGTGAATGGTCTGGCCAGAACGGTTGCTAATTCTCTGAGCAATCTGGGATGGAAGCTGTCTGCTCCACATAACTTGTTGGGATTTAGAGCTTCAAGCTCTTGAGAACCTCTTCTTCGTTCTCAAGAGCCTCTCTTTGACTTACACTTCGAACTAGCGTACAAAAAGAAAGCCTTCGGATTTTTTTTTGCATTTTTAGCAATATTTTTTCGAAGTTTTTCACTGCAGTGCGACAGACTTTTTTAGCTTAATTTCGAGCTCTTGCATACAGGTTATAATCATAATCGCTGCGAATTTGTAAATAACGACTGTAGGCTTCTTTCTTGGTCTTTAGCTGAGCTTTAACTGTACTGTTCATCCCCTGGGACTTTTTGACTCCTCCAAGCGTAATCTTAGGTACAAAAGCATCAACTGCAGACATAACCGTGTCTTTGAGAAATGACCATGAATTCATGTCCTTAATACAGTTCGAAATATTCGCCACATTCACCGCTTCACGGAGTTTATCATAGTCGCCTTTCGCAAAGTTCAAACGTTCACATTTCCGAAGCGTCTTTTCTTCACATCACTTAATACTGAAAAACAATGATTGGTGGTGGCTTTTGACCAACGAAGCCTCGTGGCGAAACTCATCTATAATTAATTCTTCACTAGTAAACACTATATCTAGAATATTTGAGGTTTGTTTACCCCTAAAATGGGTTGGCTTAGTGATGTTCTGGATAAAAAATAAGTCTCGCACAGACTCCAAGAACAGGGATGCTGGGCGATTCCCATCTCTTGGAGAAGATTCATCTGCCCACTCTATTTCTGGATGGTTAAAGTCACCAACGATCAACGTATGCGACTTGCTCAAAGTCATGCTCGGTAAAATGCTGTTTAGTACTTTATCGCTATCAGAGGAGCTGTTAGGTGATCTATAAAGGACCCTATGAGGAGGCTATCCTTGCCTTTTAGAGTAAGTTCGCACCACACTTATTCTCTAGCTGATTGATGCTCTGCAGATAACTTAACCTGCTCGGTCCCATAAGAGGTTCCAACCCACAGAGCTATACCTTTACTGCATTGCTCTTTACTTAGGCTATGAAACAATCGAAATCTGGCAACTGAAATTCAACAGGAACAATTTCTCTCATTGATTTTTAGGAAGTGTTTCTGTAATACAAATAATGTCTGTACGCGCGTTTGCGATCACAGTTAACAGATCACTTTTTTTGTTCAGAACGGAATACGAGTTCATGTAAAAACATTTAAAAACTTTTTGAGCACTTTCACTCTGATTTATGCGGTTGCTTCTTACATTACTTACAGGTCTGGAACTGTGGACATGACTTCTACTGTTTACTTGTCTTCCAGCTCTGCCAACTGATCGTGTGATGCCGGTGTTGTCTTGACATTGCGAGAGCGGTTGACCTGATTTTCCGAGATCGAGATGTTATGTGATCCAGCAAAGTTGGGTGTTTTCAGTCTCGATGTTATAGCCGGTCTGAATGGTCCGGCCTCATACTTTTCTATAACGCGAGTCCACAGTTTTTGTACCTTTCAAAACCTTCGTTATTCACTCATTAATATTGTATCTAATATTGACTGTGATATGTTAATATTTTTTATATGATCTCTCTAAAGAGAAATAATAATTAGCAACGAGAGCTCCCATATACTGTACTCCTTATACATATGTCAAGGGGCAGGAAGAGGTGGAAGAGGTCGAAGTTTTTTTAGAATAAGAAGCTCGATTTTCAGATGTGGATTAAAGTCTCCTAATTGGAGGTGGGGGACGAGGCCGGTGAGAGGTGGAAGAAATGAATGTTGAGGAGCCAGGTGGAGATGGCATTAGAAGAACTCTGGCTTGTGCCTCAGTTGTAGTATCATATCTACTGGTTGTAGGGCAGCAGTTGGTGCCTCAGCAGATGAAGTAGGTGATAGCTGACGCCAGTTATCCGTTGCTCTGGCGTGACTGGGTTTGGCCTCGCTTTTTCGAGCGTGACCCGAGGACGGCCAAGTCGTTGTAGTTGCTGCACGCAGCATTTATGTTTCCTAAAAATTCTTGGTCTTCAATCAAACTTGCATAAAAGAGAAGCTTCTGCCGAACAACACCAAGTTTCCTAAAAAATGCACTAATTCAATTCAACGCCATTGAATTACTTGTGATGATGGTTGTGATGAGAGAGTCATGGAACAAAAATGTTTAAAGTAAATGTTTTCTCAGCAATGGTATCAAAATAAGCTCATGTGATGCGCATCAGAAGGCTTAATGTATTTAATGATCTGGCTTTTGAAGCTGGTAAATCATTGAAACAAAGAAATCTTTTAATAAAATAGCCTTTTTAAGTATTTCATTTTATACTGGTTTGATTTTGATTGATGTTCATCTATTTTTAACGATTGAAGTTTGACAAATACAAATGTTGAACGGATATCCCAGTTATCACCATCCCAAACACTGGCAAGAACTATATCAGTGAGGGTGCCAATTTTGTCTTGAAGAACTTTGGCCCAGACACACTTTTCAGCCAATCGAAATCTTCTCATTAGACCTAAATGAATCACTCACTGTAATCTTGCTGGATATCGTGAATATGTTACGACAGATAGTATCTTAGTTACGTATTACTTGCACCAGCAAATGCCAGTCATTTATTAACTCGAACAATAAGGTATGCAAATGTTTATAGGCTTACCGTTAGGGTTGGTGTTTCAATTTTTTCTCAAATACTCGGAGAAGCACTTGCGCACGAACAGGTACTGCTCCTGCAATAGTATTCAAAATACGGCCCGTTGAAGAAATTGTCTTATATCAGCAGAACTATTCACATTTTGCAATGTATGAGATGTTATGACCTCGGATTTCGAATTCTTCCTTCATACTATATAATAATTACGGAATTTTTTGTCGTTTGGAAGAAATGTACCTNTCAGCAAAGCGGCCTCGGACGCCGGCACGTTGAAGTCGGGCCACGACGTGAAGTGCAGCTGCACGACCTCTCTGGCGGGGCTGGGCTGTGAGGAAGAAAAGTTAAACTTGTTGGTATAACTTCAATACTACTCAGAGCCATGAATGAGATATATTGCCGAAAATTTGACGCACTTTCTTATCCAGGGTACGAGCAGAGAGCCAAATGGGCACTGATACTCCCTTTTACCGGGCTAAATTCAGCATTAATGACACGCATAAGGGCAACAAGTGCACCTATATATGGACTAAGCCTCGCTTATTTCTTTGAGTGTGATTCAAACTACTCGTTGATTTTCAATTTTTGAGAAATACGGGAGAGAAACGGCTCAAATTGAGAATATTAGGTTTAGTCCCAAGCTCTAAAACGTTGTTAGTTGTTCTTGCCAAATTCCGCTGCAAAACGTCAGGCCCCGATGTGTCTCGAATCAATGTTAAATTACATTTTCAGCATCTTAAAGTTCTAAAAGTTTCAGCATTTATAAAGTTATAACTATAATGTTCAACTTCATAGCTAGATAATAACGAAAAATGCTGAAAGTTTGGAGCCAAAAATCACATAATGCAGAAAGCTTGACGGAACGTGAGCTACGTGTGTTCTGGTAACTGCAAACGATCTTAGAGCAAACAATTGAGTTGTTCATGAAATATAAAAACTATTTGATGAAAGCCGAAGCAAATTTGGATATCAGAAGCATCAAGCTAGCACGACACTAAAAGCCGATGGCATGACCACCTATAGCTGCACTAACACACATATGTATAAACACAGACGGAATGTGGTAAGAGGACTATCAATTTTACATCTAAGTGTAAGCATTTGGTCGCATATCAGCTTCTCACATTCCTTAGGAGTTATTTCTATCGGTTATCCCATTGCAAAATGAGTGCAGGATAACATATATCTAATAAGAGTGTGGGAGTATCCTAGTATAATTTCTACAATGCACATCTGAAACATGAACAAAATGAATATACGATTGACAAATCAACGTGAAAAAATGCAATCACTATTGTAATAAACATTTCATTCTCATTAAGTCATTATGAAAGTTTTTCAAGGACTTGAATATTAATGTATGCTAAAGCTTGCAAGGACACTGAGATATAGAAGACATCCATTTAGAACTCACGTCATTTTGCAGGAGGATCCTGCGCTCAGTCCAGTCAGGTCCTTGATCTTCATCTATGAGAGTCATGACATATTGGTCAGCCAGGAACGTTGACTTCTTCGTCTCAGGCCAGTACATGCAACATTTTTCCTGCAAAGAACAAAAGACATTGCGCATGATTCTTTAACGTATGCAGAAATTTTACAACATAATTGAAAAAAATAACTCTATTTTCTGATATATGAAATGTCAGCACTACAATATTATAGTTTTTCCAAAGCTTAGTTATTGGTGTACATGAAGCCTTGAACAGTATATATATCGGAACAGTTCGGGCGCGTCTCCACGATACATGTCGTGTCGGGATAATACCTGGACCTGAAATTTTACTTTTTGTTCTGTGCATTGCAAACCTGACAGGAAAAGATTGCATGCGAATGGACATTTAAATTTTAAATTGATATGTTTAAATCTTATTTCGGGATAACGGGATAATATTTGTCGGGATAACTTGATTAAAAAGTGTAGACACTCGCAGACTTGATGCACGGAAAATTGATTTAGACGTTTAAAACTATACAGCAATATGTGAGGTTGGGAATCACGTGTATATTGACGTCGAAATGTGCAGGGCCCAAAGAGAAAGAACTAATAATACAAGAAATAATAATAATAACTATAGAATATTAATGAACTAATAGAATTAGTAAAAATTCATACCTTTCCTTTCTCGTAGCAGTGCGTTAACATGACAATAAATTGGACTTGTTCCTGCCAGACCATGTGCCAGAAGTCCGGCACAGTCCCAGACTTCGGTCCCTGGCACGCGATGAAGCGCACGCTGTCGACGGCGTCCTATCGTTGCCGTTATTGAATTATGATTATTTCCGAAGAAAAAGTTAACAATCAGACTGATTGGGAATATTTTAACAATTTTGACGGTCGTTAGAATACTGTAATAGCTAATACTCTAATAGCTTTTAGACTTAATGTTTATTGAAGGACATCGATCATCCCGTATACTTATAACTATGAGTTATTAAAAATTATGTTGTTCTATAACTTATGTATCTGTTTAAATTGTTCTGTTGGTCTATACTGTCGTGCTGATAAAGTATGTTCATGCTGCTGTGTTTCTCCCGCTCTAAATTTCATATTTACTTGCCTGAATTTCACCTAATACTCATGGAATAAATTTGAACTGTTGAAGGCTTCAGTAATTTCGTTAATTTTATACATGACTATTTTTCAAAATAAGCAATAATTTATTTGCAGATCAAACAACTGAAGAGCGACCTTAACATAGCTGGCGTTGATGTAGTCGGTGCTCCACTCGCCTTGTAGTTTGACTCGCGTGTCGTTAACTGCACAGTTAAAATAAATACCAAAACAATTTCAGTAATTCGAAATTTATTTGCAGATCAAACAACTGAAGAGCGACCTTAACATAGCTGGCGTTGATGTAGTCGGTGCTCCACTCGCTTAGTTTGACCCGCGTGTCGTTAACTGCACAGTTAAAATAAATACCAAAACAATTTCAGTAATTCGACATTTGATATAATATATAATTGATTTCTTGAAAAAATAAAAGACGGACTTGGATTCGAATAATGTGTAGTTAATTTGTTACTTTAATTAGGTTTAAGCAACAATCAATGTGCTTGGATGTCTGTTTCATTTAAGTTGTAAAAAGGCCGTTGGTTAAATTCCTGAATAACGTGACAGTTTAAAAATGAGAAAAGAGAGATAACTGCAACAGAAAAGCAGTACGGCCCGTCTATAGTTGTATAAGTACCCTCTTATTTTACAAAGAGAAATTTATTTCATAATTTTAGAAACAATTAGTTTTAGAAATAATGAACAATGCAATAGCCACTAACAAGGTAGTATGTCCTGGTAGCGATTTCTAGCGATGTTATGACGATATAAGAAACAAACGATTAAAATTTTAACTTAATGATATTTCGTATCTGAACTAGAAAATAAGTGACAATCGAAATATAATGAACACAGGTGGAACTTACTTTCATGAATTTCATCGTATAATGATTTTATGGATTTGATTTTTGATAAGAATTGAACTTCATTTAGATACTTTTTATTTGTAACGTCTGTTTCCCTTCAATTTCAGTTATTGTTTTTCATTTTCCGATAGCCTCTATTCACCAGAATATTTATTATGACAGTTGGCTTTTGATAAATTTTGTTTCACGTAGTATACGTATATATATTACATCTACTCAATTACACGTTTCAGGTATGAAACTAATTTTTACACTTTTATTCAGTTTTAAAACGTTGGGTTGACCTCCAAGGTAGCCGTCACATGTCAGTGCAGTTTTGCTATACAACTTCACTTGAAAGTCAACCAAATGTAAAGGTTCAGATTGATGAGTTAAATAATTCAACTAAGGTCTAACTTTAACCCTTATATCATTATATCAGTGTTGATACTGTCGTTTTTTCTTAACTCTCCTGAGACAGTCCGATCTACGGAAACTAGTATGAATAATCGCCATATTTCATATGGAAAATCTTTAGTTATTTTCCAACATTTTATTTTTGGTCACCTTTATGAGGTCTAGCTCATTTACCATCCACTGTAATCACAGGCTTTAGCTCCAGCATCCATTTCAGCGGTTTATTATTTTTTGTATTCAAATGAGCAACATGGACTTCACTTCAGCTCCACAGATCGTTACCTGCTTAATTGTTTGCAGTAGTCCTGTTGCAAGTTCATTTTGTTCAGTGGAACTGAAATGAAAAAAAATAAATATCCTCATTTTCAGAATACGAACATACTGAACCACAACGAGGAAAATTGGTTTTCTATCTATAAAGTCTTTTTTACAAATATTTACCTGATTTATTTCTAACTCAAAATGAAATAGCAGCACCTCTGTTGTAATTATCTAATTCTAAATGCCATAATGGCTAATGACCAATTACATCATGCTTCTGGAATTCATTGCGTGAGAAAATTATCCTACGTTTCTCGGAAATCGGATGTTGGTGATCGGAACTTTTTGCAGATCACGTCGCGTTTGTAGATGAAAACCACGAGGCCAACAAGCAGCGTCACTCCCAGCGGGACGCCAATGGCGATGCCCACGACAACTCCTGCCTCATTTCCTGAAGAAGTGCCGAACTGCCGTACCAATTCTTCACCTTTTCGAGTCGTGACTGCCTACAGATGGGAAACATCCTCTGGTCATAAATTGTTATAAAATTCCCTTCGAGCGATGTTGACATGTTCCATTTTATGATTTATTTCTAAATTCTTTGCCAATTTGGAATGGAAGGAGCCTTTTCGTGAGTCACAAAGAACAAATTTAGGAGCAACTTTGACACATGGTTCTACCCTGAGTTTGATGGATGTCGCACGATGATCGATGATGGGCCAATCAAGGCGATCGATGTTGTGAATGCTTATATATAAGTATACATAACTCAAGTGTTACCTAGAATTGATTTATTGGAAACAATGTTGAACCTTTCATGTTGTTGCTGGTGCGGTTAAGGGGAGCGTCTGGGTACAAAATCGACAATTTTGGCTTTTCCGGTTTTTAGTCTCATCTTAAAGCTGACATTCTAACCTATCCAACAGTACCAAAACCGTCTCTGTACATTGATTTATGCGTTCACGACAGATCGCAAAGGACAGGGGTTGGTGGAGTTCTTTAACATTTAATATAGGGAGTAAATGCCTCAGTGCACCTTAAATAGCTAGTCTTCACACTCTCCGCTCCGGTAACCCTTCAGCAATCGTGAGGGATGGTTTTCGCTCTGTTGTTCCCACCATCCTTGACAGAGATTTAGCTCCAGTATCGTCTGGTCTTGCATCCTTGCAACCTTGAATGCCGAATTTGAGGCGCCCGGGACTTTGTCGGGCTCTACTGAATAATCACACTTATTGTCACTGGGAAACTATCTCCTCCTACAGTTTTGAAGCTACAGCAATGAGAGATATACCATTCGATTTGTAAATAAAAGATCTAGAGATTGGTCATTCACTTTTTGGAATTTCGTTAAATTTTTTATTTTATTTAGAAAAAAGGAGGGTGGCGGGGGGTGAAAATCGAGGAATTTTCGAAAAATATAGGAAAAATGCTCCACCACCCACAAAAATTAGAATTTCGAAAAATGAATGACAAATTGATAGATATAGTTTCTACACATCGAATGATATGCGTCTCAATGTTGTAGCTTGAAAATCCTAGGAGATAGTTTTCTACAGTACCCCCTTTTTAGTCGTTTTCTAAGAGTTTCACGTATCCTTTAATTTTTTCGAAAAATTTATACAAGCAAAAAAGTCTTAGATTTATGTTTTAAATTAGTATAGGTTGGCAGAATTTCTTCTTTCAAGCATGTTTCATTGAAGACCAGAGAATTTGTTTTATTCGCAATTTTCTTATTAGTTTTTTCAATATATCGAACAATATTTTTAGTTTGAACTGGCAAATCGAAAATCAGGTTA